CTTTGGAAAGGGGGGGGGGGACAGCTTGGCTTTTCCTCAAATATAGATTAATTTTTTTCCAGAGGGGAGCGGTCCCTCCGTGGGTCCTCACAGCTCCGGGGAGAGAGCCAGAGAAGGTCTTAGCTTCAGGGGTGGCGAATTTTTAATAATTTGCCCCCAGGTTCGGCTTGGGTTGAATTCGCCCAGTCTACCAGCTTTAGGGTGAAAGATGGGGTTTCCAGCATGTGGGGAAGGGTCCTGCTTATCCCCCAAATTTTGAGACTGCCACTGGCAACCGAGAAGCGAGCAGGCAAACGAGCTTTCAGGGGCAAAAGTGCAGCCCTTCTCCACCCTACCAGGGCGAGCGGGGCTGCCTGAGCCCAGCGAAGGGTGAGGCACGGGGAGGGAGCGAGAGACAAAGCCGGGCGCCTTCGCTGCTGGCAGAAGTGGGGGCTGCAGGAGAAAGGGGTGCAGGAAGCAAGTCTGGATGCGGGTGTCTGGTCTGGGGAGGACTGGAGCTGCAGTGAGCTGGGTGCCGGGGACGCCTGGGTCCTGCTCCCCGCCCCCCTCCCACCCAAGGTCCCCTCCCTTAACCGGAATAACGTCGCCTCCCGGCTCTCCTCTGTCTGCTCCAGATATGACCGGGCCGGACGGGAAAAGGGCCCGGACTGCGTATACCCGCTACCAGACCCTGGAGCTGGAGAAGGAGTTCCACTTCAACCGCTACCTGACCCGGCGGCGGCGCATTGAGATTGCCCACGCGCTCTGCCTGTCGGAGCGCCAGATCAAGATCTGGTTCCAGAACCGGCGCATGAAGTGGAAGAAAGACAACAAACTGAAAAGTATGAGTCTAGCGACGGCCGGCAGCGCCTTCCAGCCCTGAGCCCGCCCTGAGGAGCCCCGGGCGGCCGAAGAGTCGCGCCGCCCCCAGCCCTGGCCCCTCCAGAGCCTCCCGCGCTGCCGCCGCCCGCTGGGGACCGGTTCCCACCAGCCTGCCTCGCCCCGACCCTGTGTTACGATTTTCGTTTGGCCTTAGGTCGTCTTGTGTCTCCCTCTCTCCTGGACTGGTTAATCTTGTTATTATTGTTAATAATAATGATTATTATTATTATTTTCCCTCCGTGCTCCCTACACCTCCCCGCTCACCCCCAAACGCGTCAGTGTTTCCGAATGTGCGTGTCTGTGGTTGCACTCGTTCCCCCAGGAAAAAAAAGAAACTCGCATGTTTGATGTGAACTTCCCCCTCCCCATCTGTGTTCTAACTTATTTATAAAAGAATGATGGCTGTGTTTTTGAGTTTCAGCTGGAAACTTCTCTAAGGGGCAGCAGTTAAGGTGGGGTAGTGCGCCAGCGCCGGGCCAACCTGAGCTGGCCTCGGGAGTAGATGGAGTCCATGACTGCGTGATGGTGGTATCTCTTTGCTCCTTCCTCTCACCCCACTGGTCAGACCCAAGTCTGGCAGTGACTTGATCCTGGGCTGGGAAGGGGTCAGGGAGGACCAAAGAGCTGATGTTGAGTAGAGGAAAGGAAAATAGTGTGATTTAAGTTCCTGCTGCCTGAGTAGGCCCCACAAGG